CTGTAATTAGTACCATAAACAGTTTAATTATATTGAGCTTATGTTCATAGTATATGCCACTTTAATGAATTTAATATAGTTTATTCCAGTTAAACAGTACTAAAAATAAAAAGATGCAGGTCAATTTAACATTAGCTAGGTTCACAATTTGGTCTCAGAATAATTGTACATGAAATTCTGAATTCGGAGACTCTCAGTCAAAGATCACATTTTAGCAGTTGCAGTATAAGATTGTAAATTAGAAATTCTGTAATGAATGAAAAGCACGTAGTTTTTTTTTTTGCTGTACTGGAATAACCGTGTTTTCAGCATTGTTACTGCTGGTAATTTATTGATGGTGGAAAATTAAATTGTTGCGAAAAAACCTAGCTTGTTTTTGAGAAGATTTGCCTATGCTTTAAACCAGGTGATCTATATCACTGCTTGATCAAAGGAGAGTACTTGTTTGCCTTTTCTGGGTAAATAGATTAGAGGAGGGCAGGGGTGTAGGAAGGGGGAGGGGGGAATTTTAATGATGAACAGATGTATAGATTTGTCAGAATAATTGTTCAGATGAAGGCAAGGCATTACAGAAATTCTGTTAAATTGCTGTTTAAGGGCTACTTGACATCATTTGTGCTAAACCAGCTGTGACAGGCAAAGCTTTTTTAGGAAGTTTTTTAAACTCTGAATGTGTCCATGTGACATGATCTTGTCCAGACAGGAGCTATGAATTGATCCTGTTTCAGTGGTGTGTCATGCAGGCTTCACTGACTGTGATATGCAGACTGTTTGACAGTGTTAACAATTGTCTAGTTTTCTTTAAGAGTGGGCTGAGGTGCTCTGCCTGCAATGAATACTGTGGAAAATGAGAAAACCCCATCACCTTTTAAGTAGCCTGAGATTACATTGGGAATTTGAAGCAGCCAAACACAGAATGCAATTTGTCTGTTTTCACATAAAACACTACAAACATGCCTGGGTCTGGTCTGGTCTCTCTTGCTATGGACTCCAGTACAATTCCTGAATTAGAATTGCCATGACCTCTGGTGCTATCACAATCCTCTTGAAATTACACTAAAATGTCAAAGGGCATTTCTGTAATAGAGGTATTCATGACTTTTAAAGGGTATTTTCAAACAGTGTCAATAAGATATAGAAATTGACTGCATTGTTGCCAAAGAAGTAGATATTGCTTGAAAAGAAAGCATTGGAGACATCCTATCATTTTTGTCTTTGCTAAAGAACAGATTTATATACTATGTAAATTCAAGTTTTGGTTAAGAGTATGTATGGGCACTACAAATCTAAGGTAAACATTTGTCGTGTAATTCAAGAATGTGCTAAAAAAATGTTAGAGAGCATCAGAGTCTCTCTCTTTCTCTGTTGACAAATGATCTTCATTGCATTAAGGCTAAGTGCTCTGAATTATAATGGTCCTCGGTACATACTGCTTTTTGGAAATTAACTCCAAAACTTGATCTAGATATCGGGTCTTGTTACTCATGTAATAACACATGGTGTTTTTAGTTAAAAAACAAGTTATCTTTTACAAACAATGTAAGAGCAATAAAACATTACTATATTGTTCAAAGACTTAAGTTTAAGCAAAAGCAATAAGATATCGAACTCCAGAGCTGTGCCATCCAAAATGTGGCCCTCCTAATCCCTCCTAAATTTTTGTACTTTGACGTTACTTATTATCAGTCAAATCAGTTGAATAATTAAGGAGTTGGTTGGAGCAGAATTGGGTAATGGAGCAGATTGGAGAGGCTGCAAGGTAACCTGCCCTGCTCTAGAGCTTAGTTTTATACCAGCTGGAAATCAGGGCATTTTGATTTATTCATCCATTCTTTAACCACTTCATCCAGTTCAGGGTCTTGAGAGAGCCGGATCCTATTCTGGCAAGCAACAGGTGCATGGCAGGTAGCACCCTGTACAGGATGCTAGTCCATCGCAGGGCACACACACAGATAGACACTCTCACACGAAAGGGCCCGTTTTTCCAGAAGCTAATTAACATGCCAGTATGCCTTTGGACTGTGGGAGGAAACCAGAGGACCTGGAGGAAACAAACAAACACTGGGAGGACATACAAACTCCATGCGGAGAGTGCTCTCGGTCCAGAATTGAACCCTGTGAGGCAGCAATGCTAACCTCTGTGCTACAATGCCCTTCATTAAAGTGTTTATTTTGTCTTATTGTTTTGGTTGATGTCCCTATTATAAGGTAAGTGATTTTTTTTCCCATGTAAGTGATGAACTTGCTTTGAAAATCCATAATTGGGCCAGTAGAGTGAACACCTTAACATTTTATCTGTAGTAGTTTAACTAAGTCATCTTAGAGTGCACAGTCAGTTGTGAGAATGTAAAAAATCCCAAACCAAGTTTTAAAACCGACAGGAATAAGGTCATGATTAGAAGAGAAATGGTTAATCCCTTATTTGTGTTTTAGGATTTTTTGTTTAGCTATAGGAATAATGTGCTTTGAAAAGTGAGGATTTTAAAGAACAGATTGTTTTAAGTCTTTATTTTAAAAGATGGCAAAGATTTACAAAATCAGACTGTCATTAGTTAAGAGCTTTAGCATTACCTGTGTAGGTGTGATTTATTTTATATGAATTGGTTTGTTCACTCTGAAAGTTATGATGAATAAGTATACAGTATATACAGTACGTCCTTTAAAATCAGGTATATCAAATGCCATCATAGACTAGACTAAATAAAGGCTATGATTACATTAAACATTACATAACTTAACACCATTTTATATTATATAATATTTATAGGTTACGAGTCTTGCCCTGGCCAGAAGCGGATTTATTAGGAAGACATTTTTATTTATAAAATGTATACATTCCCTCAAATATGTCTGTATTACACTCTGAATAATGGGGAAAAAAAAGCAGTGCCTTACTTTGCAGAGGAAAACATTAAGTGATTCATTGGATATGGTAGCGATAATGATATAAATTTGAATGAATGACAAGGAAGTCTGTGTAAGCATTTTTATTTAAATTGTTTATGGAACCTTTGCTTCAGATTTGCATCTTTTTCCAATCAATTGTTTTGTCATGCATTAAAAAGTGGAATCGCACACAACTACAAATCCTGAAGTTTCATTTCCAGTAGTGGCTTAGTTTTTTCTAAACTAACGCAAATCGTGTTTGTTTGTTTTGCCCAGCTCATTAGTTGACTGAATTAGAGGAAACAGTGCTTTTTCTAACCTGCTCCTTTTTGTTAATTAACCAGATAATGTCAAAATAATCCATTTTTTATTCCACAGTAATTATATATTCTTAAGGATTAATTGAAAATTGATGCGCCTTGAAGTCATGGTGAGCACTATAGGTATAAAATCACACTACAGTATATATTAAGTCTTACGAAATTACTCTTATTACTTGGTTTCAAGTGACAGCAGTGTATCTATATTACATTTATTTGGTTTTGCGTTATCTAACCCTCCAAGATTTTCTATTAAAGTAGTTGGTGAAATTTTAGGTTTTACAACCACAGTTCTTGAATTTGCAGATTAAATCTAAGGTGAACATGAAATTGTTATTACATGTTTAAACTTAAAGTGAACCATTACTTAGTAAGACAAAGTAATTTTCTTGTAATCTCCAAATAGTTAATGAATTAAATAATCTAAATTAAATTATCAGCACTGAACATAAAGTCTAAATTGTGTGGCAGTGCTAGCCCTTATCCTAACTGGGGATTCAATGCAGCAATCCTGCAATCTGTCTTGGAAGCTCTCCAGCCATCAGATTGGAAAATGTTCCTCAAAACGAGCAGTCGAGCCTTAAACGATGAAAAGCACTGGAAAAAAGCTCTTGGAAATTGAACTTCAATAATGTGTGGTGTGTTCTTTAGGCCAATGTTCAATCAGCTGAAAAATGCTGTAGGAATAGTACAGAAATGAGTGTGCATTTCAGTCCAGTGTAGGGTTAGGGCGATTTTACCCAGTAGAACATGTCTTCATACAACTTTTGATGTGACTGACTTTTGGAATCTAATTACTGAACGCTGCATTCTTCAGTATAAGCAGACAAAAGTGTTTTAAAAGTTGAAGATGGGAGCAAATTGACTCGTCCTCATGTTCCTTTGGGACCCAATATTACTGAACACTGCAATATTCAACTTACAGTAGATGCACTGTATCTCCAAACTGTAATAAATACCCCCCTTGCCTGTTGGATATTTCCAGTTGGGATAAATGTTTTCTTTTAACTCAGTTGATGTGGCATCACCATTTTACACCAAACATGCTGCTGATCGCGATGTCCAAAAGGATCCATTTTTAATTTCTGAGGTCCGTAAGTCATTGTTCCAGCTGTTATTCAGATATTTGATTTGCCTAGCGGAGGCTTCTTCCTTACAAAGGAGCCATGAATATCACTGAAGTGGATGTTACATTGAAGGTAGTTTTTGCCACTAGATTCTGGAAAATAACAGTTGTTGCTTTCATACTTATGGCCGTTTTACTGAACTGCTTGTCTAGTAGCTTGTAGTGACAAGATACATTTCTTCTTGATAATTCGATTTCTTCTTGAAAATTATCAATTATCTAGTGCTAGTTATCTTAAATGTGTTTTAATACTGGGCTCTGTTGGAAATGGGTAGGCTTTAAAGTCCTCCTAACCTCAGTCAGTGACCTCTTGCCTGCATTCTTTAAAGAGCTCTCTGGCCTAAATCATGGTGACGCATGGTACCAC